CCCTGTCTCTCTCACTTCTAGCAGTGTCTAACTGTAGCCAAAGTTGTCCTAGAATTCATCCTCTGCATCTGTCTCCCAAGTACTTGGATTTCAAGCATGGGCTCCTGTTCCCAGCATTACTCTATCCTTCTTGGAACCCTCTTATCATAGCAGTCTCAGCCGTTACCATGGACACTTGCTCCTCTTCATTGTCTCAGGTCACTACAGGTAATAATAGCCCTGTCTTCTGGGTGCATGTGTACTTGTCAGCGACACAGAATCCCTGTTACCATTTCTTTTTCATGGTTGGTTGTTTTGTGAATGCACTCAGTGGGTCCCACCTTTCTACTCTTTTTTACTTGGTAGGCACCTAGCTGTTCTAATCTATGTTATATATGGTGAAGCCTTCTGAGACCCAGAAGTATTGGACCCCTTCTCGGGGCCACTAGAGCAGTATGAACATACCTCTGCTGCCTGTTTCCTGTGTGCACTGATATTTTCTACCTTACTCTTTGAGATGGGGTTATACATCTCTGACCTATTTAACTGTAAATTCTTTAAGGTTAGGCACCATACCTGTATATAAATATCCTCAGCATGTAGCACTGTGCCTTGCACATAGTAAGCATTGTGATAACACATGTTGAATAATTTGGTGTTGAAAAGGATGTACAACATGTTGAATAAAGTGTTAGAAAAATGAGCACCCAACAGTTAATTGACTCCAACAAATGTTTATTAAATGGGTAAGTAAATGAATTATTACTTTCAACCAAAGATTGTCTGCAGCTTGTGTGACTAGGTACTGAGATTAACTCATTTCTTCCATTACCATATATTCCTTTTGAATTTTCCTTTAAACAAAACAACTTTGAGAAATTTTAATTAACCATTTCCCCATTCTGCTTCTCCCTTCTGTAAGCCACTGAGCATTGGAGAGCAAAGCCACCCTGCAGTTGTCTGATGAGGTCTCTGGAGCCTGTTCTTCAGGCCATTCTAATCATCAATTCAGTCTTCAGCAAACTGAAGCCTCTGTTTATAACTAGTTGTATCAAGGCTGGGACTTTCTTTTTTTTTTTTTTTTCTTTTTGAGACAGGGTCTCCCTGTTGCCCCATCTGTCCTGGAACTCACTATGTAGACCAGGCTGGCCAAGATCCGCCTGCCTCTGCCTCCCAAGTGCTGGGATTAAAGGTGTGCACCACCACGCCCGGCAAGGGACTTTCTTTTTAAAATATTTATTTTATGTGTATTGCCTGCATGTGCATAAGTGTGCCTGTGTTGTGTAATGCCTGCAGAGGTCAGAAGGGGCCATTGGATGCCTGGGAACTGGCATTAGGGATGGTTGTTAGCCATCATGTGGATGCTGGAAATTGAACCCCGGTCCTCTGCAAGAGCAGTCAGTGCTCTTAACCACTGAGCCATGTCTCCAGTACCAGGGCTGGGGAATTCTTTGACAAGTATTCCAGAATTTAAGCTTTTATTGAGAAACAACCCTTTTCCTTTTTAAAAATATTTTATTTTTTTTATGTGTATTGCCTGCGTGTAAGTAAGTGCACCCGTGTTGTGCAATGCCCTTGGAGGACAGAAGAGGCTGTCGGATCCCCTGGAACTGGAGTTATGGACAGTTGTTAGCTGCCATGTGGGTGCTGGGATTCGAACCCAGGTCTTCTATAAAAACAACTGCTGTTCTTAACTGCTGAGCCATCTTCTCCAGCCTGAGAAACAACCTTTTTTATTACATGATCTCGTGTTTATCTTTTGACTGGGAGAATTTTAACAGTAACTTTGTAGTGAGAGTTCAGCACTTGACATTAAGACAAAAATTGCTTTTTCATTATTCTAATACTTTATTAAATCTTACCTAGATCCTTTTCAATACCAAATTATTCAATGTGTATTATCACAATGCTTACTATAATCAGTGAACAAAGTTGCATGCATATACAAACACTTGCTGTTAAGGGTTTTGCAGGACAGCCCTATGCTGCTATGCCCATTAACTCTTTGTAAGAACTCTGATCTAATATCTTATCATACACATTGTTCCACTTCCAAGACCTACTTAACGTAGCAAGCACTGTTATATTATTTTTACATAAATAATCTTTAGTTTTTACAGCCACCCTAGAATATAGGTGTTATTATCTATGTTTACAGACATGGGAACTGAAGTTCAGAATTCTCTCTGACTCCAAGCGCATGTTCTTTTCAGTATACCACACTGTCAATGAGAAGTCCTAGTGTTATATTTATCCTAATATCCTGACTCCTACCCCTTCACTCAAAGTTCTGAGTCATGGTTCTATTGTCAGTTTTGTAAGACAGAAATGAGAGGAAGGAAATGGGTTTTATAAATGATGCTTGTGTGTATACTGAATTCAGGGGTTATTTTTCCTAACTTCTGAATGGCATTTGTTCTTATAAGGTCCATGAGCATTCGAGGCCTTTTGTCCCTTTGATAAAACCAAAGAGGACATTTATTGCTATAGATAAAAGGGCCCAAAAGTTATGGGGATGATCAGTGGAACTTGCTAGCATTTAAAACTTGTTTTTGATGAGTGACAGTTGAGTTTGAAGCCCGATGTGGTTGTGTATCTGAGCACTTGGGAGACAGAGGCAGGTTGATCTCTGTGAGTTCAAGGCCAGCTTGGTCTACATAGTAAGTTCCAGGTCAACTGGGGCTACAGGTGACCCTGTATCTAAAAAACTAAAAAGAAAATAAATTGACTTTGAGCTTCTTGCTCACAAGACTCTGATACTAAACAATAATATAGGGCTGCTCAGTTAAAAACTAGGATCTTTTTCTTCAGTGGCTGATTCCGTGGCTCCTCCCTTACTCAGTTCTTCAAATACTATCACATCCTCCAGGGTTTGAGAAGGTGGTGGAGAGGATGCCAGATAACAACAGAAAGGGGAGCCAGAAGCTGAGCAGTGATATTAGTGAAGGAAAGGAGTACGTGAGCCGTAATATCCCTCTTTGTCACTCCCAAGCAGCAGGAAGCAGAGTCCATCCAGGTCACCTACAGGAGCAAGAAAGAATGGGTCCCAGTGTTGCTAGGCATGTCCCAGCTGCCACCCTGGCCCCTGGACTGGGATACATGGCTGGAATCCATAGGCAGTAACTCAGACAAGGCAAAGACTGTTTGAGGACTGGCCCTGCTCCCAGCTGCTTGTTAACATGTGGTGAATAACAGCCACATTACCGTGGGGCTACAGTCTTACAGACTCTGAGAGTTCCAACACCCAGCCCACGTGGTATTTCACCTCTTGGGGGTGCATGTAAAACAACAGCAGTGAGCATCTTCCTTGGCTTCTCCTTGGAGTGGAAAGACAGCTAACTGTCCTGCACTATAAAGACAAGAAATGGCCTCTTCATTCCTCTGGGGATGTCCACCTACTCTGAGTGACATCAGATAACCAGCAGCTTTCTTGGTTCATTTGTATTCCAACCCGATCCTTCCTTTTTCCCCTAAAAACAACTAGCTGTCATCCTGAGAATGGCAGCTCACTCCACTAGTGTATTTTCCTTCCTTAATCAGGGGTGCATAGCCAGGGTACCTCGGATTGCCTCAGGCAAACGAGAGCTTAAAGTCATGATACCCATTTTGATGATACCCACCCAACTGAATTGTAAGTAAAGGGATGCATACTTAGGCACAATGCGCAGTGTAATTTTATTTGTGTGTATATGTGAGAGATGTGTGGGGCCTTCGCCTCTATATACACATGTGACCAGAGCAGGACCTTGAGTGTCTTCCTCTGTCACGCTCAGCCTCGAGACATGGTCTCTTACTGAGCAGGAAGCCTGCTGTTTTGGTGAGGCTGGCTGGCCACCGTGCTCTCAGGCTCCTCTTCGTCCCCAATGCTAGGGTTCCAGGCACATGCAGGTATGCCTGGATTTTTGTGTGCTGGGGAGTCAAGTGCAGATCCTCATGTAATGAAGGACTTGGTTGAGCCGTTCTTCTCTTGGTGTTTCAGCATTTTACATGACTTGATATTTGTGCCCCATGTCTATGGCCTTTCTTCCTCTAACCCTTTGCCCCCATCCTCCTTGACTTACTACCATCATTTCTGGCACTGGATACATACTCCCAACCACTGTATTAAACAAGCGTTTTATGGCTCAGCTTACCTTCTTTTAGTTTGATACCAGGGCTCAGACTAGCCAAGCCCATTATTCCCGGTCCTCCCCTGTTTGGTGGAGCTGTTGCTGCACCTCCCTGACCTTGTGCAGGCCCTGGCACTCCTGCTAGTTAGGGGTGGGTGGGGTTAGGGCTGAAACCCATTTGCACAGACACATTCCTATTTTATGTTCTATTAACAGGTTTACTTTTCAGGTGAATACTTCCCTTTCCACCCTCGGTATTTTGCCCTTGGTTTCCTATACAAGAATCTCATCATAGCTTTTTTTTATAGGGAAACATGCCCTGAAATCTTCATGCTAGAGGCAGTCATTTTTATAAGCACCAAAGTCCCTGCCTGGTAGCTCGTCACTGCCGCCTGGCCGCTGGCCTCCTAAAGGGAATGATTGCAACACTGTTACTGCAGGCAGAACTGGGTGTCCAGTGAGGGGTTCGGGAAGGCTCTCTGCCAGCTCAGTGAGCTGTTTCTGGCTGGATATTGTTTCTCTGTGAACACGCCTGCGCTCCCAGGGGGCGCCCGCACGCGAACACCCAGATGTGCGGGTCACTGGTTTCAGTGTCACGCCCCCACCCCTCCCCCGATTTTCACTGTTGGGGCCAGAAGTACTGCGGAGACAGCTGTGGGCGGTAGGACAGTCACACAGAGTTGATAACTAATGGGATTACTGTTTTAGGTCCCCTTAACGCCCCACGGGCAGAAAGTGCAGAACAGAAAGAGGCGCCTCAGGAAACAGCGCTGTCGATCCCTGGAGGGAGGAGAAAGTACGAAAGCGGTGGTAGTGCACAGAAAAACAGATGTTAGCAATCGCCTGAGGGATGACTTCGGTTTGGGCTTAGGAGACCTAGAAGGCAGGGCGGTCAGGTGCAGGGGGCGGGGGCTCTGGCCCTCACCCAGACAGGGGCGGGCCTGCTGGCGGGGCATTTAAACCGCAGCCAACGCTGGCCGAGACACGGCGGCTCTGCGCCCTCGGTTTGCCAGGCAAGATGCGGTCCTCTCTGGCTCCAGGTGTCTGGTTCCTCCGTGCCTTCTCCAGGGACAGCTGGTAAGCAGGGCTGGGGGAAGGAGGCTGCCTGGACGCCTGGACACAGGGCAAACCCTGCTCTGCGCGGGTGTCTCTGGAAGTCCCGGAGTCGGGGAGGCGGTTCTGGCTCGGGCTCCTACAGCGGCTCAGCCTGGAAGGTTGGTAAACATGCAGACCCTACTAATACCACGTTCACCCAGACTTCTGTGTGACCCTGATGAAGAGCAGGCTGCCTACAAGAGTTCATCAGTTCCGATTTGTTGTCTGCATCTGCAAACACAGGCAGACGCGCCAGGGTACCTGTAAAGCACTTCAGCTTCTTATCTGAGCACTTCTCCGTGGGATCTGGACTTGCCTTCGGGCTGGAACTCAGGCCTGGAGTAGAAGAGTATAAAGGTGGCCAGGGAGTTTCGGGCCCCTTTTAGATTTTATCGATTGGATTGGGTAACATAAGGCCAGAAATCACTGGTTCTGGGAGATTATTCCAGTCCCAAAGAGATACCTAGCAAGGGCATGTCTCAGGGAGAACTACAGCTGTTTACAGCTGGGTGGCCACCCTTAAACCGGTGAGCCTGCTTTCGTAGGAGCTGTCCCCGTGTCCACAAGAGGCCACCCGTAGGCTGGGTGGAAAGATTTCAGCCACTCCATCAGAGCAGCTTGGAGTTGTATGCTTGGTCTGTACTGGGTTTTAAGAATATTTCATTAGTTGCCATCATTTCCAAATTGTAAAACGCAGCAAAATAGCTTGTTCCTGACTTCTCTTGAAAAACAGATGACAGGAGTGCCAAACCTAAACTGTCAAATTAATATAAGAGTCTTCTTTAGAGTGGGCAGATGCTTATAAGGTGATCAATATGGCCTGGTTTTTGAAAAACTTTTGGTGTGTACAAGTATATTGTCTGCATGTGTGTAAGTACACCTGTGTTGTGCAATGCCCCAGGGGGGTCAAAAGAGAGCGTCAGATTCCCCTGGAACTGGAATTGTGGAAGGTTGTTAGCTGCCATGTTGGTGCTGAGAACTGAACCTGGGTCCTTTGCAAGAGCAGCCAATACCCTTAACTGCTGAACCACCTCTCCCGCCCCTGGCCTGGTTTGTACTAGTTCTTAATCCAGTACAAATCTGGACAGTTGATTACTCTGGGCACTTTGACTTACTGACAGTACTCATCACATCCAGTCTCCTGTAGATGCTTTATCTGGTCCTTTTAGAATTTGGACCACCTGAGGGCTTTTTGTTTTTTTGTTTTTTTCAGAAAGAGATAAAATGACTCAAGGATATGAACATGAGTATGTATTAAAGAGTATATTTTATGCATAGTGAAGGAGCTAGAAGAAATGTTATAATTTTGTGGAAAGAGAATCAGAGCAGGTGCTTGGACAGTTTAGTGGATATGGATGGCTGCAATAGTTGTACAACAATGGATATTTTTATGCTATGTATAGTTTAATCACAGTTTTAAGAAGCATAATACAAATAACATATCAATTTGTACATCATGTTATTAACGCCAAACTGTTTTTCCAGAGTTGGGATGGAAGACTGTTGAAGCTATCTCACTCATAGACATATTTTATATGAATTGTCTGTTAGCTATCACTTCAAAGAATAAAAAGCTCAAGGTTATAGAAAACTAGAATCAGAACAAATGAAAGGCTAGATTCACATTGGGAGGAATGTTCTCTCTTTCTTTCCTTTTAGAGATTCTCTTGGTTTTTAAAAAATCTTCAAAAGCTGGGCGTGGTGGCACACTTTAGTCCCAGCACTTGGGAGAGGTAGAGGCTGGCGGATCTCTGTGAGTTCAAGGCCAGCCTGGTCTACATAGTCAGTTCCAGGTCAGCTGGGGCTATAGGGAGACCCTGTCTCAAAAAGACCAAAAAAAAAAAAAATTTTCAAGGCTGATTATTGATCACACAATGAAGTGGGTCTCATAAGATTTAATTTCATTACTTACCCAGATACAGCAAAAGTGTTAATTAACCTTTTGCATCATGTTAAATTTGCTTTACTGAAAGTTTTCATAAGCAATTTTTTTTTTGTTTTGAGACAGGTCTCCCTGTAGCTCCAGCTGGCCTGGAACTCGCTATGTAAATCAGGCTGGCCTGGAACTGACAGAGATCCGCCTGTCTCTGTCTTCCAAGTGTTGGGCTCAAAGCTGTGCACCACCACACCCAGCTAAGCAATGTTTTTTAAAAAAATTGTGTGTGTGTGTGTGTGTGTGTGTGTGTGTGTGTGTGTGTGTGTAGGCCAGAGGTGGTCAACCTCAGGAATCATCCCACCTTTTTTTTTTTTTTTTGACATAGGGTCTCTCACTTGGACTGGGATCCGTAAATGAGGCTAGGCTGACTGGCCAGCAAGGGAGCTTTGAGGATGAAGAGCTGCCTATCTCTGCTGTTCCAACTCTAGGATTACAAATGCACCTGTTTATCATACTGGGCTTTTTATGTGGGTGCTGGGGATTGAACTCAGCTGATGTAGCAAACACTTTAGTCATTGAGTCACCTCCTCCATCCTTCATAAATAATCTTATTTTGGGTTTATTAAAAGCACTTTATTATTTATTACATTGAGATTATATGTCAAGAAACTGTCTTTATTAGATTTTACCTGCTGTACCCATAAATTTGGGTAAATTCCTCTTTCTCCAGAGGCCTAAAATATTCTAAGGCTCATAGACTAGCAAAACTGAGTGACTTTCTTCTACTTCGAAGTCTGAGAACCCAGTAAGCTACTTTTCTTGGAAGTGTTCTATTAGTATTGACTCCACACAGTGAGCCTTAGTTCCTTAGAAGGGGCTGGAATATCTGCTCAAGTAGGCATCCTTTTCAAATACAGTATTTCAGGCAAGGCCTTGGTTACATAACCAGTTTTTCTAAACCTGCCCATGTTGAAAAAAAGATGAGATTCTTATTGAAGCTTTTAAAATAGCCATATCATGAAAAGCAAGAAGACTCAATTAGAGCTTCTGAAGTCTGAGGAGTTGGGTAACATTGCATTTCACTTTATGAAAGTATAATGTAATGTCTACTAAGTTGTTATGGGTTATGGATCACCTAAGAGGAAAGAAAACTGTCTTCCTTATACTGGTGTCCTGAAAATAGAACACTATAATAACATTTCAAACGTAAGTGATAGCCATTATCAGTTCATTTAGTCCTGTGTGATTAGTTCTGGGCTTCCAAATCTTGGTTAGCAGGCTCTGGAACCCATCTTCTGACAAGAGTCCTACCTCTACTCCTGTGCTTCTGTGTTGTCCAAGTGGTGTTTTCAGAAGAGTAAGTGCTCAGTGTAATGCTTTCCTGAGACAGTAGTTACTGTTGATGAAAACTTTGTCATATAGCTGACTGTAGATGGCAAACATTTGATGACTGTGGTTAACTACTGATAGTTTTCAAAAGTCAGTGATCTGATACAAGTTCATGACAATAATAATACAATTGACAAGGAAATGTGTTTTTCCTTATAATATGTAAAACAAAAAGAAGCCAGTGCTAATAACAACAAAAATACAGATGATGTCTACAGACATCAGTCATGTTTCAAAAAAGACAATGAACTTTGCATCAACTTATAAAAATGAGTGAATGGAAAAAACCCTTAGATAAGAATTCTGAGACATTATTTATATAATATACTAAGAATACCAACAAAAAAAAAGAGTAAGTTAGGAGTAATTATCTGAGCATCTGATGTACACCTGTAGCTGAAAACAAATGGCCTAGAAGAGGCTAGTTTCCAGTTAAGGGAATTATGTATACCATATAACATTTTAGCTGGTAACTGAAATCATGACTACTGACACGACATGCTGCCACCAGACAAAGTACCGCCAAAATCAGTGGAAATAAATGGCTGGCCTGATGGCACAGGCCTGTAATCCCAGCTACTCAGGAGGCTGAGGCAGAAGGATTAGAAGTTCAAGGCCAGCCTGGGCAACTAGCAAGACCCTATCTCAAACCAAAAAATAGAAAAAAGGCTGGGCATGTAGCTTAGTACTAGAGCCTTTGTCTACTAGCAAGGGCCTAGGCTCAATTCCCAAGTACCACAAAAGAAAAAAAAAAAATCATGGACAGGGAGGGCATCCAGAAATCTGCACAACTTTTCTCACAGAAATTTCTGAAATATTTGTATAAATTACAGCTTTTAACTTGTATGAATTTTTTCAAAGTTTAAAAGAGAAATCTGATTCTGTCTTCTTTAACAATTAATCCCATGCTACTAACTGATCAACACGGCATGGCAAGCCTTACTAGTTTTAGCACTTACCATTTCAAGAAAGAACAAATCTAGCTGGTTTTCCAGGTACCCAGTTTTTAAAAATAATATAAAGTTATCAAACCTGAACCCACCTTGGCAAGATTTAACACATTTAATTGCCTCTCTTCAGATCAGTATTTGCACTACTATAATCCCAGGAAAACCACTCCTAATTCTATAAACCTACTCGCTTACCCATTCAGGTTTCATTCTTCATTCTCCTCCATGCTGTCTTAGAACTACCAGTTCTTGCACTTGAAGATAAAATTGCTCTTTTCCCTTCAATAAATAAAACCACATCTATAGCGCTAGGCAAGTTACCTCCCACTGAGCTACATTTCCAGCCCTAAGTACATCTTTTAACCAAAGTAACATATATCAAAGAAAATGAGTGAAGAGGGTAGATCATGGCAAAGACTGTCACAGCTTCTCAGAAGAGCACAGGAATGTGCGCAACACAATTTTCTACACACACATCACTTGCACACTTTTTTTTAGACATGGTTTCTAGTCCGCAGTGGCCTCCAACTGCCTGTAGTCAAGGATGACCTTGAATTTATGATCCTATTGCCTGCACCTACCAAGTGCTGGTATTATAGGCATCTGCCACCACTCCTGGTTTATGTGGTGCTAGGGGTCGAAGCCCAGAGCTTATGAATGCTAGCTAAGAGCTCTACCAATAGAGCTACATCCTCAGCCCCACTTGAACATTTCTTTTCCTTTTTTTTTTTTTCTTTCTTTTCCTTTTTTTTGGACTTTTTGAGACA